TTGAGTTGAATGTGTAATACAGTTGGGGAGATAATGAACGGAAACTGAAAATTTCATATTATTTTCAAAGTAAAAGGGGCATAACTCTGCCAAAAATCATAGAACCATGACCAAATTCAAACTTGACCTGTATTATCTCATGACATATCCATTTGTCAATTTGAGTTGAATGTGTAATACCGTTGGGGAAATATGAACGGAAACTGAAAATTTCATATTATTTTCAAAGTAAAAGGGGCATAACTCTGCCAAAAAACATAGAACCATGACCAAATTCAAACTTGACCTGTATTTTCTCATGACATATCCATTTGTAAAGTTTGAGTTGAATGTGTAATACTGTTGGGGAGATAATGAACGGAAACTAAAAATTTCATATTATTTTCAAAGTAAATGGGGCATAACTCTGCCAAAAATCATAGAACCATGGCCAAATTCGAATTCGAACTTGACCTGTATTTTCTCATGACATATCCATTTGTCAAGTTTGAGTTGAATATGTAATACCTTTGGGGAGATAATGAACGGAAATTTAAAATTTCATATTATTTTCAAAGTAAAAGGTGCATAATTCTGCCAAAAATCATCGAACCATGACCAAATTCGAACTTGACCTGTATTTTCTCATGACATATCCATATGCCAAATTTGAGTTGAATGTGTGCAACCATTACTAAGATAATGAACAGAAACTGATGATGACGGAATGACAGAATGACTGAATGATGGAAGGGCGGAATGACGGAACAGGGTAACACTATATGCCCCAGCCATTATATGGCGGGGGCATAAAAATAGGTATTAACTGTATAACATAGCTGTATTAAACTTTGAAATGCAGGTTAAGTAACTAAATTTTCTTAAATACCATCTTTTAAATTAAGCATTACCAATTTCTTAAAACATAATCATTATTAAATACATGGTGTGAATCACAATGTCCTTATAATGTGCTCAAATTGTTTCATTTAACATCTCTATAAACCTCACAACTGTCTAGCTAGAGTTCATGGCCTTAATCATTTCATAAATATCTCTGAAAATCATGACCCAGCTATTGAATATTTTACATAAAAATTGCTGAACATGTATTACACATTCCAATGTAAGTTGTTTCCTTTCACACAAAAAGATTTTTTTAAATTTTACTATATGTACATAATAATAATCAATGACCTTGGGGCGGGTCCAATTTTGACCCCAGGGCTATAGTTTGAACAATATTGGTAGGGGTCCACTACACAATGTTTCATGACAAATATCTAACCTCTAGCCTTTGTCAATTCAGAGAAGAAACAAGGGGAACACCCAAAACCGTCGCTTAGTGAAACGGTCTCCTATGAGGCTAAGACAAAGCATGATAAAAAGTCAAAATTTATACATGACATCTTCCTTTTGCAGTGGGAGTGTTTTTCAACTTCATTTATATAAATATTTAATAATTAGAACACTCCGATAATCTAAATGGATGCTAATGTAAAAAATAACTTTCTAATATTTATAGACGAATCAGTTTTGATCCATTACGTACATGTTTGACATTTTTCCAGAATTTTTAAACTTCTCTGTTGTATTTCCTTGTCTCCAACACGAAAACCCTGATAAGTGAAGCTTTTTTCTGTTGTGTAATTTCCATTTGAAACTACATCTGATTGTAACGATTAATTTAATTGCTGATCAAGTTCAAGGTCAATTCAATGCAGTCTAAATATCAACAGCTAAGCGGGGCCAATTTTGACCCCAGGGCGTTTATTTGAAATGTTTTAAGCCTATTTGTTGCCATGGCAACCAATTTTTTCAAAATAGGAAGAAAAGATAAAGACACGCATAATCTTAAGACTGCCATCTACCCATATGTGAAGTTTCATAAAAATATTTTCAGTACTTTTTGAGTTATCACTGGATTCAGTTTATGTCTAAAATTTGCCATATTTTCAGTCTATTTGTTGCCATAGCAACCAGAATTTTCAACATAGGAAGAAAAGAAAAAGATGGCATAATATCCAGACTGCCATCTACCCATACTTCAAGTTTCATAAAAATATTTCCAGTACTTTTTGCGTTATCACTGGATCCAGTTTATGTGCAAAATTTGCCATATTTTCAGTCTATTTGTTGCCATAGCAATCAGAAATTTCAACATAGGAAGAAAAGAAAAAGACGTGCATAATCTCCATACTGCCATCTATCCATATTAAGTTTCATAAAAATATTTTCAGTACTTTTTGCGTTATGATGCGGGATCCAGTTTTGTGGACGGACTGACAGACAGACGGACGGACGTACCAACTTTTGATATTTAAGAGGCAAATCAGCTCATAAACTACACCTGGACGTAAGTCCATGAGCTGAATTTAGCTCATAAAAACAAAAAATAGCTCTTAATTTGAATTTTATGAGTTTTTGTTCTTTATTTAACTACGGAATGAAGCTCATAAATATCAAATGTTTGCTCGGACAGACAGACAGACGGACGGTAAACCTTAAGTCCGGTAAACCGGTAGGGGACTAAAAACAACAAAAAAACAAAAACACTTTTTATTGAGTGTGATGGATATGATAGGTAACCAGGAGTGGATTGAAGGGAATAATCAGGCTGGTGAAAATGCCCGATTGGGCTTAAGAAATAAAATATCATATTTTTAGAAAAATAATTTAATTGTTTCTTTCTAACTTGTTTTGTTTATTCAGCATTTATTTATGAAACAAATCAATATAGAAATATTTTGGTTATCTTTTATTTTCTTAGAATTATTTCCCTTTTTGGAAACAAAATATTTAAAGTGCATAAAAATTATGTTGTAACTTATAATTCTTAATAGAAATGTGTCCAACAACTTCATTTTGCTCTGGATTATTGCGCCAGTACCTTAATTCTATATATTCGGATTAAATTTTCTGTTTCTCACATTTATATTTTGAAAATTCTTTGACACTGAACATTAAACTTCAAAGTTTTCTGTGAAAACTGAAGGAAATGTATGTTGACAGGTGTTGGCGCAATGAATTAGAGCATAAAGAAGTTATTTAACCTATTTGTTTTACACTTTGCACATGCACCATATTTTTTTAGGACTTCAAAAATTATGTGTTGTAAAAACATGAAAAAGGGGAAACAAAGTTTAAAAGAAATATCTTTATTATTTTTCTAGAAATAAGATTTTTTATGTCATAAGCCCGATGGGCATTTTCACCAGCCTGATAATTAATGCATTAGTGAAAATTCCCAGGAGGCAAATTCACTCTTGTGCAGATTTTATCAAGTGTCAAAAATGTGTGCATTTCCTGATTTTCAGGAGTCAAAACCCATATACCCATGTCAAACGAGAGCCCTGATTAACATCTACCAACAAATACATTGAAGCATTTTTCTAAATCCCTGATTGTTGCTACTGATTTTGCCATTCAAAATAATTTAATCATAGCAAATTAAATAATTTAATTGCTCAACATTTTTTCCTCCCATAAACAATGCTTACAGTTATGTAAAACCACATATGTATCAAAATGCATGCATAAAAATCAAAGGTAACAGCAACTTAAATTCTTGAACAGCTTGAGTACGAAGCACATGGAGTACGAACATCTATTTTGTCTTGTATAAAATATTCGTTATCGTGGGCTGTATTTTCAAACTGCATGCAAGCAATCAATTAGAGCAACCATTTTCTACATTCAAACACTAATAACAATGGCTGTAGACATTTAAACTTTGCAATATTAATGTTGCAAACCGTATTTACTTTTCCTTTCGATTTCATTTGCAAATCATTTTTCCCGATGTAAAAGTAATATCCGTAAATTAATCTTTTATCTTAATCAGCTAATTTTTATGAAAAAGACAACAACAACATTTTTTGTTCTCTTTCATTTCTTTGAGAAATAATTACACAATAAAATGTGCAACTCATTGTCAAGAACCGAAATATTTAAGTATTTCGGAACGACACATACCCTTGGATGTTTATGACTTAATGGAAGATCCATTTAATTGAAAGGGAAATCCAGTTCACTTAGCTTCAAATTTGTATTGATGAACTCTGTTTTGAATTAACATTCACATTCAACAACCTTTTCATCTTTCTAAAGCTTTAACAGAAAAAATCTTCATAACAATGTCAGTTGAAACAAAAATACAATATACAATATCTCAATTTATCCCTACAAAGAAAGTCTATGTATCCCTGCAATAAAAAAAAACCCTTTCACCACCAAAACAGAGACCAATTTTCAACTCAGGATCATAATTTGAATATGCTTTGTAGAAACTAACAAACCAATGCCTTGTGAGAAATATCTTTCCATTTTGAAGTATAAGAATTTTTAAGTTTTTTCTATTAGTTGCCATAGCAACTAGAGTATAGCATCGAATGGAATTCTTTAAACAATCTTGATAGAGCTTCATACAAAGAGTATTCGTGCCAAGTTTCATTAATTTTTGCCAAGTGGTATCATAAAAGATGTCAGTTGAATAAAATGTGGATGGACGACGGACGCAAATGATTGGCCATCCTAATAGCTCACCTGCACTATGTGCAAGGTGAGCTAATAAGACCTGTTTTTCAAACGGGAGTATCAAAACAATAATCAAGTAGTCCAACTACAAAACTAAACATGCACAACAAGGAATAATACTTTTCCTGAACGAAAACAAACAAAACAAATGAAACTATTCACAAACATGTATAGAAATTTATGAGTTTCCTCAAGCAGTGCCAGTTGTACGGGGCATATCGATCACATATGTGATGACGTGTGTACACTGCTTAGAGGTTCTTTACCTGTTTTCTATTTACGATAAATTACTCTGTAATCATTATGTTCATATAAGTGCATTAATTGTAAGGATTCTGTTTATCTTTTCTTTATATTCTCTTATTATTAATAATATTTATAATCATTTCTACTAATATCAAGCATACAGCTAAAGACTTGGTGCTAAGAAAACTTTGAGTAGTATATTTTTAACTTAAATTTATTAATAGTTACAGTTATTTTACCTTCAGACTTTTGAGATCTAGAGCAGATGTTATGTTCCCACTGAGATCTCTCTCTATGATGAACCTTTCATTAACAGTTAAAATTAGCTGATTCATCTCATCATCTGCTAATCTCATAATAAACTCCTCATACTCTGCATCTAAAACAAAATCAATTATATAAATCTTATCTTCAGTAATCTCTTTCCGATTTTATGCTAATAAAAGCTATTGATTTGTTATAACATTGAAAAAGACTGCCACAAACAGTAAATAGCATTGGTTTAGCAATAAAATCATTTACCGGTAACTTACTTTTGAATTTTATTACAATCAATATACAAGAGGGCCATGATGATCCATTTTACTATAATGCTCTATATGACAAGAGACAATGGATAATGAAAACTTTGAATTAAAAGCATAAGATACAATCTAAGACAACTGATATCAAAGTTAAACTCTGCATCCGAAATAGAGCACATGTAAAACTAGAACTATCACTGAATGTGATTCATACCAATCTTGACAGAAGACGACTTGGAAAGGTGGTTAAGGGAATAACTTTAGTGGCACAAATACATATACATAAAAAGAAATTATCTCTGGTGAAAAAAGGACAAATTGTACAGGTAATAGTATAAATATATATTGTCAAATCATGTTCGAAACAGTTACAAACAAGCAATTATCATAGTATTGCAAGCAATCCATAAGTCCCCTACTGGTTAGAACCCCAGCAACATTCTGATGGGCCATTGGCCATTCAATTTTACCAGTGAATGCATGACATGAATGAACTTAAATCTTCTGAGTTCTAAGTTTGTCTATATCACAGTAATGTGTTAAGTTTCCCTGCCTAGTAAGGAAATTATGTTTATACAACCTTGTCATATAATTACCATGTGGGATTTTAAAGTAAATCCTATAAGGAATGAAGAAGTTGGAGTAAAAAATACCAATTTCTCGAAAAAAAATCTAAGTTCAAGGGGGACATAATTCTGGAAATAGTCTTGCTAGAGTATTTAACCTTCTCAAAAATGTCGAGTGATAATAAGAAACATATATATGAAGTTTGAAGTAGATACATTAGGAAATAAAGAAGTTATTTTTTCATAAAAGTTCAAGGGAGGTAATACTGATAATTTTTGTGCTAGAGTTGTAAACCTTGTCACATATGATGTGTTGCTTAATCTGAACAAATTTTGTACACTGTCACAAAGGAAATTTTTGTGTACAATTATTTCAAAATTGAACCAGTGGTTTAGATGTTGTTGTTTTCTAATTTTAGCTCTGGCAGCCATTTAATTAAACAGTTTGTCCTGTCATTAAGTGAGAGGTGAGCTAATAAATGACAGAAAAAGAGAAGGAAAACAAACATTTGACCTGACTGGGGATTGAACTGTCAACCTCAATCCCCTGGGGCGGGGCCATTTTGACTCTAGGGGTTTTATTACAACAAACATGGTAGACATAGTTACACAAGAAGACGTTACATGCCAAATATCTAAGCTATAGCTCTTTTGAATTTTCACAAGAAGATTTATGTTAGTTTTTTACTATATACATATAAGGATTACCAATAACCCTTTGGGCTGGGCCAATTTTGACCTTAGGGCATTTATTTGAAAAAACTTGGTAGACATCCACTGGAAGATGTTTCATGCAAAATATCTAATCTATAATGCTTTTTGATTTTCACAAGAAGATTTTTAAAGTTTTTACTATATACATATAAGGAAAATCAATTAATGACCCCTGGGGCCAGGTCAATTTTGACCCTAGGGATTTTATTTGAACAAATTTGGTAGACATCCACTAGAAGATGTTTTATGCCAAATATCTAAACTCTAGCTCTTTCGGTTTTTTACAAGAAGATTTTTTAAGATTTTTCTGTAAAAGAATCTTTCGGTTGCCATGGTTTATGGAATTTAATTCTTTGAACTACTTTGGTAGAGCTTCATGCAAGGAACATCCTTCCAAAGTTTTAACATATTTGGTGTAGGTGAGGCAGTTGTTTAAAGAAATTGTTGAAGCACGAACGCACTGACTCATGCACGGACAACGGACAATGGGCCATAACAAAAGCTCACCTTGAGGACATTGTCCTCAGGTCAGCTAAAAACCTATGACCCCAGGGGCAGGGCCATTTTTGACACCAGGAGCAAAATTTGAATAACTTGTCTGCCTTGTACCTTCAGACAAGACAATATTTTAAGTTTATACTATATGTACATAGTGAAAATCAATGACCCCCGGGGTGGGGTCAATGTTGGCCCAGGGCTATAATTTGAACAACTTGGTAGATATCCACTACACAATGTTTCATGCAAAATATCTAACCTCTAGCCTTTGTCAATTTTGAGGAGAAGATTTTTTAAAGTTTTTACTATTATAAACATATAAAAAAGATCTATGACCCCCCGAGGTGGGGCTATTTTTGATACTATGGGCAAAATTTGAACCACTTTGGTGGAGGACCTATAGATGATATCATATACCTAATATCTAACCTCTTAACCTTGTACCCTCAGGCAAGAAGTGTTTTTCAGTTTCTTCTTTATACATATAAGGAAAACGTATGACCCCCTGGGGTTTCATTCTTGAAGCTCCTTTTCTGGCCCTGTGACTTTTTTAAGCAACAGACCAGAACAATTTGAACAATTGTGAAAGGGAACCACTCAAGGACGGCAACGACGACATAATTGTAACAATATCTAATTTTGAACAGATGAGCTTAAGTACATTTTCCGACATGCTGGCAAAATTAAAACTGTAAAACAGAATTTCTTTTACAATGTGCATGTTGTTAGAATATGATGAGCAAAAAAAAATTGGGTGTCTATATATATATATTTATCAATATATTATGAGTTATCTGTTGTTGAATCAGAATTATTTACTTATTTGGGGTCATTTCAAAGGCAAGTAACTTAACCTCAATTTATGATCTCATAAACATATTATTTGTATTTGGTTTCTAATACCTTCAGCTCTGAAAATTTATGTCACATACTAAAATTCAAAGGACTCGGAGGTAATTTGTTACAACAGGACTGGGAATGATTTTTCAAGATTAATGTTCCATTAGATCAGGTACGAATATTAACGGTATCCGCAACTAAATTTTAGACCGTGATTGGTGTTGTGCCATTTACGCGCATGCGCACATGCTACTAAAAACATTAATCGATGGCGGAAGGCAACAATTTCAGTTCATGAAAAAATATGTTAATTAAGCGCTAATTTATGGGCATCTGCACAAAATACTCAAGAAATAATGACAGGTTAGTCTTATTTCTTTGTTATGTATGTAAATTTTTACTAGATCACGCTTTCAATGGCGTAAATCGGGTTGGAAATATTCCACTCTGGATGAATGAGATTTCCAAAATGGCGGAAAGTTTGCTTGATACGAGTGAACATGTATAAAATCTGCAGAGTCATCAGGCTTAAACCACTCGAAGAAAACTGACTAAACTTGCACAAATCGGTTTAAAATAAATTAAAGTATGTCGTGAAGGTACTTTTAACACTCCCTTATCATCTGTTCTATTGTTTTTTGGCGTGGAATTTGAAGGAAAATGTTAAATTTTTGTAGTGCAAAATTAAATTCACGAACCTATTTTAGCCGAAGCATCAGAGGTATTTAAAGACCTTTAAAAATATAAAATGAAAGCTGAAAAGTTAGTCACTACATCATAGTAAATGGTTTATGATATTATTATAATTTTCAGCCGAGTAATTTTGATGCTATGTCTTTTTGAAAATGGATGAATTTTCCCCCATTTTTTTTTCATTTACTCAGAAGTTATTTCAACTTCTTTTTTGTTAGTTATTCCAGGTACGTATATTAACATTAGTACATGGTTATTCTGTTGATAAAACAAAATATTTATATTAAATGTCATTTCATCTATTTCAGATCTTAACAAATGTGCTTCAAGGGTTTCAAGTGGTAGATCAGCACGACAATTTCACTGAATGCTGATACAGCCCAAAAGTTCAAAGATTTGCAGTTTGTGCCAGGAGAGTCCCAGAAGTGTCAAATAAATTTCGGGAATAAAGTGACACTAAATGAAAACACTATAAACAGTCATTTTATAGCCAGTGCGATGCTATTGAAGTTTTATTTAAATCCAGTTATAAAATAAAAGGCAAAACTTATGTGTTTTCATTTTTATTTCTTTTTTTTATTACCAGGTACCTGATACTACCATTTCCAATACCTTTATGTCTATTCTCTCGAAAACACGTACGTTCATTCAAGAGAACCTGAAAGATACTGACATCATGTAGTGGTGAAACAGTTTACTCAATATAATTATATAAAAAGCAACACAGAGAATATGTTTTAAATAAAAACAATTAACTGGATATGGTAATAATCTAGCCTTACCCACTAAAAAGCAGTTTCAAACAGGACCGACTGATAGAAAAAGTGTGAAAACTATCACAATTGAACAATTAAATAGATGCATATTAATAACCGAGATTAAATCAATTACTGAATCTGCAGCAAACATCAATTATGACGGTACAATGTACTTATTTTTCACAATACTTTCATAACAAAAAATGTTTAGGCTGTTTTTCAGAAAACAAACATTTTTATAAGAGCTCTTTTCTCAGGTGCAGTTTGAAAATTATATAATCATACTTTTATTCAATTTTAAAAATAGATAGATAGATAACTTCATTCTTTAAAACAATGTTCAAATAAAACAAGAACCGGTTGAACCAGGTGATGCTCCCCGAGAAGGTTCTGGACACAGGAAAGTATAAAAAAAATGAACAAAGGGCAATAACTCCAAAATTAGACCAGGCTTTGTTTAGGTTCTTGAAGCGTTGCAGTTCTATCCAATTACATCTAGCTACCTACAAAGTTTCATGTTGATATCTCTAATAGTTTTAAAGTAATGTCCAGGACAAAAGTCAAAAAGTAAAAATAAACAAAGGGCAATTACTTCAAAATAAGGCAAGGCAGAGTAATGATTCTTAAGCACTGCACTTCCACCCAATGAGACCTATCTATCTACAAAGTTTTCATGTTAATATCTCTTATAATTTTAGAGTAATGTCCCAGACAAAGTTCAAAGTGTCAAAATGAACAAAGGGCAATAACTCCAAAAGTAGGCAAGACATTTTTACAGTTCTTGTGCACTGCAAACTTACTCAATGAGATCTATCTACCTACAAAGTTTCATGTTGATATCTCTTATACATTAAGAAATATGTCCCGGACAAAGTTCAAAGTGTAAAAATAAACAAAGGGGGAAATTCAAAAATTAGGCAAGGCAGAGTTAAGGTTCTTGTTCACTGCACACCTACTCAATGAGATCTATCTACCTACAAAGTTTCATGTTGATACCTCTTATACTTTTAGAGTTATGTCCCGGACAAAGTTCAAAGTGTAAAATAAACAAAGGGGGATAATTCAAAAATTAGACAAGGCAGAGTTACGGTTCTTGTGCACTGCACACCTACTCAATGAGATCTATCTACCTACAAAGTTTCATGTTGATACCTCTTATACTTTTAGAGTTATGTCCCGGACAAATTTCAAAGTGTAAAATAAACAAAGGGGGATAATTCAAAAATTAGGCAAGGCAGAGTTACGGTTCTTGTGCACTGCACACCTACTCAATGAGATCTATCTACCTACAAAGTTTCATGTTGATACCTCTTATACTTTTAGAGTTATGTCCCGGACAAAGTTCAAAGTGTAAAATAAACAAAGGGGGATAATTAAAAAATTAGGCAAGGCAGAGTTACAGTTCTTGTGCACTGCACTTCTACTCAATGAGATCTATCTACCTACAAAGTTTCATGTTAATACCTCTTATACTTTTAGAGTTATGTCCCGGACAAATTTCAAAGTGTAAAATAAACAAAGGGGGGTAATTCAAAAATTAGGCAAGGCAGAGTTACGGTTCTTGTGCACTGCACTTCTACTCAATGAGATCTATCTACCTACAAAGTTTCATGTTGATACCTCTTATACTTTTAGAGTAATGTCCCGGACAAAGTTCAAAGTGTAAAATAAACAAAGGGGAATAATTCAAAAATTAGGCAAGGCAGAGTTACGGTTCTTGTGCACTGCACTTCTACTCAATGAGATCTATCTACCTACAAAGTTTCATGTTGATACCTCTTATACTTTTAGAGTTATGTCCCGGACAAATTTCAAAGTGTAAAATAAACAAAGGGGGTAATTCAAAAATTAGGCAAGGCAGAGTTACGGTTCTTGTGCACTGCACTTCTACTCAATGAGATCTATCTACCTACAAAGTTTCATGTTGATACCTCTTATACTTTTAGAGTAATGTCCCGGACAAAGTTCAAAGTGTAAAATAAACAAAGGGGAATAATTCAAAAATTAGGCAAGGCAGAGTTACGGTTCTTGTGCACTGCACTTCTACTCAATGAGATCTATCTACCTACAAAGTTTCATGTTGATACCTCTTATACTTTTAGAGTTATGTCCCGGACAAAGTTCAAAGTGTAAAAATAAACAAAGGGGAATAATTCAAAAATTAGGCAAGGCAGAGTTACGGTTCTTGTGCACTGCACACCTACTTAATGAGATCTATCTACCTACAAAGTTTCATGTTGATACCTCTTGTTGTTTCAAAGTTATGTCCCGGACAAGAAAAGGGGACGGACGGACGGACGGACGGACGGACGGACGGAAAGACGGACGGACGGCCGGACGGACGGACGGACAAGGCGGCGACTATATGCTCCCCCGAAATTTTTTCGGGGAGCATAAAAATATAAAGGGCTTAATAAGTTAAATATATTTGCGTTCGAAATATGCAAGATGATTTTGGCCATGTGATTCTTCACGATATCTTATCCGCATATAATTATTTAAGATACGCAATAGAAATTGAAAAATAAAAAATTTTAAACTACAGTTTATAAGCTTTTTATAAATAATTTTTCACAAATTTCGGCAAAAAAATGACAAAACAATAATAACTTGTTACTATATGTATATAAAATTTCTTTCGTGAGCAGTCGCGATTTGGCTGGTAGTAAAAGTTGCGTTTTTTACTCGTTACAATTCCGGAAATAATTTAGCTTTGTAAATGATAATTACACGGTTAAAAAGATCAAATTCTCAGCTTTCTTTTGATAGGTATTTTGCTAAATTCGGACCATAAATAACGAAAAAATCTTATATTTGTTCGAAGAGGGCATCATTATTTTTACTGAAGTTTTGACATAATCGGGAGACAAAAAAACAAAACTCTGTGTTTAACTTGTCGTAATTTTCTTCATACTAAACGCACTGAGTTATAAAATATATATTTGAAAAATTCTATCTTTCAGCTTTCTAGAATATGTTACTTTTAAAAAATTGAACAGAAAATAACATGTTGACAGAAATTTAAATAACCAAGGTCAAATATCACACCGCTTAATGATATGTAATCGTCGATAAAAATCAATAACGATCGGCAGTCTGGATGGATTATCTGCCATGACAGCATAATTTACCGTTATTGATTTACTGTATAGAGTTGCGGATACCGTTAATATACGTACCTGATTAGATGTAGGTCTAGCTCATTTACTATATGCAAACTTTCACAGAATAATCATTCTAATTGTGGAAAATGACCCAAAATTGAAAAGCATTACAATGCTGTTAACTCAAATGAGGCTAAGAAAAGCACAAAGTATGATTTTCAATTTATTTCTGAGTATATTTCTTAATCATCATTTGCTTATATTTCAGTTTTATGTGCCTCCAGCTGATCTATGTAAGAACCATTTTTTATTGTTTAGGCCTTATTTGTTAAGGTCCTCAGTCAAGAATTTTCCGAGCTTACAGAGGGCTTGTGATGAGTCAAAATCTATGTCAGAGTAATGGTCTCTATTTATGGTAAAAGAAAACATGCATTAAGATTAAAGTGAATACCTTTAGTGAGTTCACAAAGAGCCATCATTCAGTAAAAACCGACCTCAGAGTTAAGGGTTTTGGATAGATTTTGTTTAAAAGATATTCTATTGGACTGTTCTAGTATTGCCTATATGAAAATTCCTGATCTAAAATTTTCTTATAACTGTTTCTAAAAAACTACCCTACCATACATTTCTGAGTTATCTTCCTTTGATGAACTTGAAGCATCAACTACATCATAAGAATACATGTGGAGAAGTCTCTTTCTTTCTGTACCTTCACTTCTACTGCCTAATTTAGACCTTGATAATGAATCTGTAGAACTAACAATCTGAACAACTTCTGGAGATGCAGGGAGCTGGATTGACAATTGTGCATCTGTAGTTGAGGGGGATGCTACTAGACTATACACATCTGTTTGAATTATCTCACTCGTCAAAGACTGCTCCAAACCTTTTTGTACACAAACAAGATTGCATTTGTGAAAAATGCTATGCCATCGCATTAATAAAACACTAAATAGTAATGTAAGAACACAATTTTTTGTTTCTATACAATTATGCATAGATCACTGACCTATCTAATTGTTATTATCAGATAAGTACCTTCAGACAAGAAGATTTTTAATTTTTTACTTTATGACATAGTGACTGAAAATCAATCAATAACCCCCGGGGCGGGGCCAATTTTGACCCCAGGGCATACATGCCATAATTTTTAGACTCATTTCCAGGACACTTTTCATTTGGAGGTGGGGCATGGCATTGATCAGCAAACTTATTTTTTTAAAATTTACATAGTGGCGAAAAGAATGTCAGATATAATCCCCTTCGGACAAAATCCCCTTCAAGGGTGGACATAATCCCCTTCAAATTTTTGCAAGGCTGGACAAAATCCCCTTCACTACCCGGACAAAATCACCTTTTTTCATAGGTTTCTAATGTATTATTATGCTCCATAAAAATTGATGAATAATGTATTATTATACTCCCTAAAAATTGATAAATAATGAACTTTTGTTTTTTTTATTTATAATTATGCATCAATAGTTAACCTTTATTTAGTTTAGAAGTTTTCATTAATATTATGGTAAATTATCAACTGCATAACACATATTTGATTTGGCAATTTCTTTAATTATTTTAAACTGATTAGTATGAAAAACATTTTTATTAGCCAATAATTGTTTCATTGATTGTTTAAGTTGATAATTCTAATTGATATATACTATCCATTGTTACAATTTCTATTGATGAAAGAGTGATAATTAAATCAAACCAAGATCACTGCACTACTCGATTGATTGTTATGAATGCTTTAACAAAGCAATTTTAATGTGATTTAAATGTTGCTAATTGAATGTGCTTTTCTGCTGAAATATTTTCTACTTATTTATACATTAAGATATTTACTACACAGCATAATGCAGTATGTCGCTCTCATACCCACTTTATAAACCGAAAATTCCTCTGAGGGGGATTTTGTCCTAGGTAGCAATTTTATGAAGGGGATTTTGTCCACTTCAAAATTTCACACATGAAGGGGATTATGTCCACCCATGAAGGGGATTATGTCCGGATATACAAAAATACATGAAGGGGATTTTGTCCGAAGGGGATTATGTCCGTACACCTGGCATACAACCTATATTACAGGTATTAACAACTTGCAAATTTAATGACACCATAAACAAACGACAAAATGTCAATAATTATTAACAGTTTTCTATCTTTTTTAAGTATTTAGGCATCGTAAATTCAATCAGTCACAGACTAGAATAAAGCTATGTTAAGTTACCACAATTAGCCATGTCATTAGATATCATAACCTCATATTTAGCAGTAATTTTCATGGTGTTTGACCACTAATAAACTGCCTGCAGATGGATTAAATTTATACTTGTCAGTTGTTAATTACAGTGTATGACACCTTCACTCAGGAAGCCCCAGGGGGTAAATAATTAATCTTTTAATTGATCAAAATTATTGGTGAAAATTGTTTGTTAGAAGGGGCACATAGATATACCAATCAAAGGATTATAGTCCGAGCATGATAAACAGAACTTTCGTCAGTTTTAAAAATACCAGTACAGTCCATTAAAAGATTAACTCAGGTAAACAGAGGTAACTGCAAGTGATTAACCAAATAATTACATTGAAAGTTATACAAACTATATTTTATGAGATGTTATTTTCGTTTGACTGTATAGCACAGTAAGTAAGACTGCTTATGAAAGTGAATTTAGCTGAGCGGGTTCGAAACCTGTTGGAAACTGTTTATTTTTTCAAGTTTTAATTCTTTTTTTTCTTTTTTTAATTTCTTACTGTCTGACAAAATAAATATATGATTACGCATATGAACTTAAAGATATTGTATTTTTTGTCTCTTGAAAGTTAAAATATTCATACATTTGTAATATGAAATGCAAAACATATAATAAAGGAGGTGAAGATACTTTGTTTAAAAAGTAATATAAATTCATCAATAAAAATAAACAAGAGCCCGGTTTGAGCCAGAATGCTCCCCGAATAGGTTTTGGACACAGGAAAGTACACCTCTTGTAGTTTCAGAGTTATGTCCCTGGAAAAAGTTCAAAGTGCAATAATTCCAAAATTAGGCAAGGCAACGTAACTGTTCTATGCACTGCAATTCTGCTCAATGCGATCTATCAACCTACAAAGTTTCTTGTTGATATCTCTTATGGTTTCCAAGTTATGTCCCAGACAACTTCTGTATATGTCTTAATGTGTTACCTTCGGTATTAAACTTTGAAATACAGTTACAGTTTCTTTTCAATAATCATTAACAATTCCTGAAAACATGAAACAAAAGTGCCAAGATGGCCCTAGATTGCTCCCCTGACCCATCAACCACAACAACCCAGCAATGTCTTAGACAAGCATCATGACAAAGTTTGATGACAATTAAGTAAACAAGAGCCCGGTTTGAGCCGGGTGATGCTCCCCGAATAGGTTTTGGACACAGGAAAGTACACCTCTTGTAGTTTCAGAGTTATGTCCCTGGAAAAAGTTCAAAGTGCAATAATTCCAAAATTAGGAAAGGCAGAGTTACTGTTCTTTCCACTGCACTTCTAATCACTGTTATCTATAAACTTACAAAGTTTCTTGTTGATATCTCTTATGGTTTCCGAGTTATGTTCTGGACAAATTCAAAAAGTAAAAATAAACAAATGGCAATAACTCCAGAATAAGGCAAGGCAGAGTTATGATTCTCGTGCACTGTACATCTACCCATTGAGATACATCTACCTACAAAGTTTCATGTTGATATCTCTTATAGTTTTACAGCTATGTCCAGTACAAGATTTTTCTAAAAGGGGAGATAATTCAAAAATGACGCTTAACAGAGTTATGGTTTTTTTGCACTGCACTTCTACTCAATGAGATCTATCTACCTACAATGTTTCATCTTGATATCTCATATAATTTTAGAGTTATGTTCCGGACAAAGTTCAGTGTTAAAATTAACAAAGGGCAATAACTCCAAAATTAGGACAAAAAGAGTTATTGTTCTTATGCACTGCACATCTACCCATTGAGATCTATTCACCTACAAAGTTTCATGTTGATATCTCTTATAGTTTTAGAGTTATGCCCCGGACAAGATTTTTCTATAAGGGGAGATAATTCAAAAATGAGGCTTAACAGAGTTATGGTTCTTTTGCACTGCACTTCTACTCAATGAGATCTATCTACCTACAATGTTTCATCTTGATATTTCTTATAGTTTTAGAGTTATGTTCCGGACAATGTTCAAAGTGTTGAAATTAACAAAGGGCAATAACTCCAAAATTAGGACAAAAAGAGTTATTGGTCTTATGCACTGCACATCTACCTATTGAGATATATTCACCTACAAAGTTTCATGTTGATATCTCTTATAGTTTTAGAGTTATGCCCCGGACAAGATTTTTCTATAAGGGGAGATAATTCAAAAACCGGGCAAAATAGAGTTATGGTTTTTTGACACTGCACTCCCCCTCAATGCCCTCTACCACTGTATGAAGTTTAAACAAATTATCTCCAAGGGTTTTCAAGTTATGCTCCGGACAAGAAAACGGACGGACAGACAGACAGACGGACAAGGCGCCGACTATATGCTCCCCCCGAAATTTTTCGGGGAGCATAAAAATGTGACCTCTAGTGTGTTAACAAGGTTTTTCCATTTATAGCCCCTGCAACCTAGTTTTTGACTAAAGACGACCCATACTTGAACTTGACCTAGAAATCATCAAAACAACCTTCCTGACAAATTTCCAAAATGTTTGGATCAAAACAGTGCAGCCACTAGTGTGAAAAAGATTTTTCTATTTTTAGCTCCTGTGACCTTGCTTTTAACCGATGATGACCCATATTAAAACATGACCTAGAAATCATCAAAACAACCTGCATGACCAATTTCCAGGATATTTGGATCAAAACTGCAGCCACTAGAGTGTTAACAAGATTTTTCTATTTTTAGCTCCTGTGACCTAGTTTTTGACCGGAGATGACCCATATTCGAACTTGACCTAGAAATCATCAAAACAACCTTCCTGGCGAATTTCCATATATTTGGATCAAAACTGCAGCCACTAGAGTGTTAACAAGACTTTTCTATTTTTAGCTCCTGTGAGGTAGTTTTTTGACTGAAAATGACCCATATGTAAACCTGACCTAGAAATCATAAATAACAACCTTCTGACCAATGTCCAGGACACTTGGCTCAAAACTGCAGCCACTAAAGTGTTAACAAGATTTTTCTAAGCCCCTGTGACTTAGAAATCATCCAAACAACCTTCCTGACAAATTTCCATGATATTTGGATCAAAACTGCTAACAAGATTTTTCTATTTTTAGCTCCTGTGACCTAGTTTTTGGCTGGAGATGACCCATATTAGAACTTGACCTAGAGATTATCAAAACAACCTTCCTTACAGATTTCCAGGAAATTTGGATCAAAACTGTAGCCACTTGAGTGTTAACAAGCTTTTTCTATTTTTAGCTCCTGTGACCTAGTTTTTGACCGAAAATGTTTCATATTAAAACTTGACCTAGAAATTATCAAAGCAACCTTCCTGACCAATTTCCAGGAAATTTGGATCAAAACTGTAGCCACTATAGTGTTAACAAGCTTTTTTATTTTTAGCTCCTGTGACCTAATTTTTGACCAGAGATGACCCATCGTCAAACTTGACCTGTATTTCATTGAGACAAACATTCTGAAAAAGTTTGATGATGATCCAATAAAAACTGTGACTGCTAGAGTGTTAACAACCCAACTGTTGAAGACGAACGACGCACGACAACGCACAATGCGGCGACAGACATAGCCCCATCACTATACCTCACCTTGACCACTTCGTGGTCAGGTGAGCTAAAAAACATTTACAATTTAAAATGATAATTATATACATGGTGTGAATCATAATATTCAAATTATATCATAAATAC